AAAAAAAAAAAAAAAAAAAAAAAAAAAAAAAAGCAGTATTTGTGAAGAGCGTAGCCACACAAACCCAGCACATGTACCAGTTATGCCTGTGGCGTCTGCACCACTGTGCAGGCCTCCTTCCCTTCCTTAGAAGCCACGTCTGCAGCTTTCATGTGATACTGAATACTGCAGCAAAGGAAGGAGAGGATAGCCAGGCCTGGTGGTGCACATCTGAAACCACAGCACGGGGGAGGCTGAGGCAGGAGGACTGCCATAAGTTCAAGGCCAGCCTGGGCTACCCAGGGAGTTCCTGTCTCAAAAGAAAGAAAGAAAGAAAGAAAGAAAGAAAGAAAGAAAGAAAGAAAGAAAGAAAGAAAGAAAGAAAGAAAAAAGTAGAGAGGAACACCAAGAAAATACCTCACAGTTGTAATGTTTGACCCAAGGAAGATGCACTCATGCTTAGCCAACTGGGTTAGATTCTGCAATCCGAGCAAGCAGAGCCTCGTACCTCCTGCAGCTGCCCAGCCCCATGCCAAGTCTCTCCGCTTCCACTTTTTTGTTGTCACTCATGTTCATTTTTTCATCCTTCATTTGAATTCCGAGATCCTTATAGGCTAATCGTAAGGATGACACGCTGACAAACAGAAAAGTGCTCTAAGTTAGCTTCAACTCTAGGTTCTTAGGGCAAAACACCAAGCAAAAGGAAACCTGCAGTTCCTGCTTTGAGCTTTATGCTGCTTCCCATAATTGCTAATTTGTTTGTTTTTAGGGCAGGGTCTCACTATGTAGCCCAGGGTACCCTTGAATTCAAGGTAACCCTCCTGCCTCAGCCTCCCAAGTGGCGGGGTCACAGGCGTGCACCATCATGTCAGGCTCATAACCGCTAATTATGAAGGTGAGCTGGCCTTTCTTTTCACTCAGAGCTGTGAATGGGTTACAGCCCCTTGGTGGCTGCTGCTGGTCAAGGTTAGCTCATGGACCTGGTATTGTGTAGTGACACGACTTATACCTCAGTGATGTCTCTGAAGATTGTAGAGAGTATGACTTCCCCTGTGGGTTGCTATAGTTCCCCATGACCTATGAGTATTAGTGTCACCAGTCTGCTGAAAGGTTAAAATCTATGTAAAGCTGACTTCTCGATCAGATAAATTAAGGAGGGCTTAATTAATTGTATAAGCATTCTTAAAAATTACGGAAGAATTTCTGCAGGGCCTGTTATGTAACTAGACATCTCAGCACATTTATTTTATTTTTGTCTTGAGATAGGGTCTCACTATGTAGTTCAGCGTGGCTTTGAACTATGGCGATCCTCCTAGCTCAGCCTCCTCAGTGCTGGAATTGCAGGTGTGCACCACTGTGCCCGGCATCTGAGAACAGTTATTTATTTATTTATTTTTCTAAGAACATTTAAACTGTGACAGTCACTTGTCAGTGATTTCTTAAGTGATGACCCTTACATACCAATCTTCTATTTATGAAATGCCTGTTACAAATAATGCACCAAAAAATAACCAGTGCAGTAAAGTGGTTAAGGGGTTAAAAGA